TTCAGGGTCTCAGAATCCGTACCGAGTAAATCAAAAGACATAAATCCATAAATAGGAGTTTGTTAAAAACTCAGGATTAAGATCATCCTATATATGATCATCGGTAGACTCAATTAGAATTTCTATGCTTAACGGAAATTATTAGAAATTCATATTGTGTCTTTGTCCTTGTTCCACATAATCTTATTATGCGAAATATACTCATTCAATATCTCACCATATTAACACTGCGGATAACACCGTTCCATTCTAAATGGGAATGGCATGTATTAATAATGTTTTAATTAAAGATTCTGAACTTTAATTAAATTCATCATGAATAATGTTTTTGATTATTATCCTTAAACACTATCCTCTTGTATATAACACTTATATACTATGTTCAAGGTTACATAAACAATAACGGAATTTTTATTTGATATTCATAAAATATTCATAAATATATGCACATAAAATGATGAATAAACTCTTTTATTAATTAAATAATAAATATCATATTACATCTCATGCTTCTAGGACACTATTCCCAACAATCTCCCACTTGTCCTAAAGCAGGTGTGTCATGTCTCTAATCTCAAATCCATCTAAGTGCCGATCAAATACATTCAATGGCAATGTCTTGGTGAACGGGTCAGCAAGGTTGTCATCTGACGCGATCTTCAGAACCGCTACATCACCTCTATCTACAATGTCTCTGATCAGGTGATATTTCCTTTATATATGTTTTGCACTCTTATGGCTTCTAGGTTCCTTTGAATTAGCCACCGATCCACTGTTGTCACAGTAGAGGTTAATTGGCTTATCCCTTGCAGTGTTGATTTGGTACTTGGATTGGTAAGAGCGCTCTGATTCATGAATGTGTTTTATGAATCATTGTCCATTACAGAATCAATGGTACTCAAGGATAAAGATGTAATTAGAGAGGTTAACGGATTTCACCTAGCCTTAATTATGAATTATTCATAGAGGATTGATCTATATGCAATGACTATATCAAATGGACATTTCACGGTTTAGAAGTAATTTATATCTATAATTACAATAGTGCAATTTCAAGTTCATAGTTGAGTAACTATTAGAATTAATAGAATTAATTAATTAAAGTGTTTGATTAATTATCAATTTCATTGGAGCTCGGAATTGTAAGTCCATTAGTCCCCGCGTCGTCCTTGTAATTCCGCATGACACAAAGGGCAAAATGGAAACTTTAGAATTATGGAATTCTAAAATAAAACACTCAAGAATAAATAATTGAGAATTAATTATAAATTAAATAAGGTGATTATTTAAATTTAACTTTGAATTTTGGATCACTTATGTGAAGGTGTTCACATAGTGCAAACGCACAACACAGTGTGAATCCTTTTAGGATTCAAATTGCTTGCTCTCATAGTTATCCAATTAACTGATTTGATAAGTTGTTCAATTTGAAATTCAAATTGATTTAAGTTTGACATAAATTGAAATTTGAATTTAAGTCAAAATTAGACTGCAGGATAAAGGATGATTTTTTCCTCCTTCCCTATCTGTAATTGGCGCCTACTGATAAGTGCATGAAAATGCACCCAAAATATTGCTTTTGATTTATATAATATTAAAATATTTAAGCTTTAATTAAACAATTCCATTATTTTTATTTATAATATTTTTAATTAGAATTTGTCTAGTTTTTGCTTAATTATTTACAGATGAAAAGCAGTGTGAAGAGCTACACAAAAGATACAATTTTAAGCCAATTTAGGCACTAAGCCGAGCCTCAGAAGCCAAAAAGAGAGAAGAGCCGCGTTAGCCAAATAAGCCGCCAAGCCGAGCCAAGACAAGCGGACCCCGCCATTCAGCCCGCGCTTTCCTTTCGCACCATCTCGCGCCTCGCGCATCACCAGCACGCAACACTTCAGCGCGCGCGTTCCTTCCATGCAACCATCAACGCGTGTCACCAGTTTCCTCTGTGTGAGTCCCGCGTGTTAGCGTGCAGCCTGCTCCTCTTCTCCGTGCATGATAGCTGGCTTCCGCGGACCCCGTGCCTGCTCACGCCAGCCTGCCTTTAAAACTGATTGTGATTTGATTTTGTAATCTTTTATTTTTGATAAATTAGGATTTTATTTTGTTTTTCCATTTGTATATTTTAATTTTTGATTCTTATATTGTTGCCTAATTTAATTTTTCCTTTTATAGTTTTCATTATTTCTTAAGATTATATTTAGGATTGTAATTAATTGATTATTCTATAATATAGGAATTTCATAATTTAGTAGATTTAGGCCTTTGAATTTAGGAATAATTTACATTATTTAGATTACATTTCATAATTTATTCAATAAAATTTAAGATTTTGTTGTACACGATTTGCTACTCACATGCTTGCGCATCTGAAATCCTTTCAGAAACAAACATAAACAAGCCACGCAAGTGTGGCATGGCAACGACTTTTGCTTTGACAAAAAACTTGATTCCAAGGACTAGCTCAAAATAATCAAGAGAGACAGCCATACAACTACATTAATGCTCCCATTTTCTAACTTTAAGAGACGGAGTAGTTGTACCTTGGATGGGCTGTGCACCGGAATTCGCGGCCTTGATTTTTCTTGAGCTCCTGGAGACGGTTAATCCAAGACTCCCTACTACATGTTGCGAAATAAAGTTGTTGGTAGCTCCCGTATCCAACATGGCACCAACACCTTCACATACATAAGCCCTTTGAAGGAGCTTTGTTGTTACCCTTGATGGCATTCAACAACTGTAGAGGATTCAATCTCTAATTGGTCCCATCTGTCTCATCCTCCGAATCATCTCATGCAATGAGGGCCAAAAGCTTCTCTTTTCTTGGGCCATCCCTAGCCCTGTGAGGACCATCACAAAGAAAACATGCATAATTCTTCTTACCTTGCGGTGGATCCCTACTCTTTGGCTTGAATGATTCCCCTATCTTCTTCCCTTTGTCCTTCTTTCCCTCCTTGCCATGCTT